TGGAGTTCGAGGAGTGCATCAAGGACTCGCCGCGGTTCAGGTGCTGGGCTCGGGCCCCCGGGGGTGGGCACGAAGCGGGGGCGTCGTTGTCGCCTTTGTGCCTGGCAGCGGACGGGTGGTCAGCGTCGTGCCGGCCGCGGCCTTCAGGGACTAAGACTGCAGGACCCGGCTTCGGACAAAGCCATTGCCCCACCGACTGCGCGGCCCCGCCCCGCCCCCGGTCCTGAGGGACCGGAACAAAAGACGCCCCTGTGCTGGTCACCTCGCGTGGAGGGCGTGCGTGGGGGCAGCCTGGCCACCTCAGGGACTGTCCACTCTCTCTGTGTGTCTGCACCTCCGTGTGGTGACCACCTGCATAGGACCAAGCCCGTCCCTGGCCCTGCAGCCCTGCTCTAGCTAGGGTTGTCTGAGTCTGTGATGTGCCCCGTCTCTGTCTTGGTCCATGTGTCCAGAGCAGTGCATGGGGACAGGCAGTGGAATGACATTTAGGGCCTAGCGGGTGTCAAAGGTGGTTTGAGTAGTCCAAGGGCCTGGAGGGCTGGGAACTGAGCAGAGTGGTGGGGAAGATCAGGTGAGAGATTTGGGTGGAAGGGCAAGGGCTGTGTTCATCCCTGGGTTTTTCACTGATCCTGGGCAACAGGCATGCACAGCTGCATGAACCATATGTTCACAGACTGCACATAAGTGTACAGCTACATCAGGCCACCTACCACTACACATGCTTGTGCAGGGGTGCACATGCACGAACTCTGCCTTTCTTTGCCCCTCCTTCAGTGTGCCAGACCATGTAAATGAATGTGAGCTGCATCTCTGGGCTGGTGTACTTGATGCATGCTAGTAGACTAGTAATTGATGTGCACATGCATGTGTATGTGTTCCCTCTCTGTGTGGATTCATACACCAGGCTTACCATGTCATTGGACACACGTTGGTTTTTTCATACATGTGTCCCAGAACTAGGTACATGTCTATGCACGTTTGTGCACCAGATCTTAGGTACACATAGTGTATGTTTACTGTGTCACTACATACACACATGTTTGTGTGTGGTCATGTCTGTCATACCTCTGCACATGTGTGCTTGGTCACATGTATATGCACATGCTGGGTTTTGGGGGGCATAGCAAGAGAACCTATGTGTGGGTGCTCTGGTAGACCACAGCATCTCTAGAACTGGCCCCTTTGCACAGCATCCTCACAAAGGTGTTAGCTCTGGGAGCCCGGGAGTGGGAGGGTTGAGTTGGCCCAGAGAGTGGCCCCAGGCCCTGGGCAGAGGGGCTGAGGGTTATCTTCTGTGTTCTCTTATCTTCTATTGCTGATTGAGAGCAAGGGTCTGAGTGACTCAGGTACCCCCAATCCCGGTCCTACCACTGATCTCTGTCCTTTAGGACTTGGGGGTTGCTGGGGGGTGGGGCATGGCCAGGCCGATTTGCAAGGGACTTGGTCCTGGCTGAGGCACCCTAGTGGTGCCCTGGTCTCTCACTCAGAAGCTTCATTCCCCTTTTCCTCCATGCAGGGGTCTGAGCTCAACTTGCCCAATCAGGTGGGGGTGCCAGGTCCCCACTCATCCTTGGGCTTCTCTCCCACAACCAGTCATTCCCTGTTGGGCCCCCAGTTGCTGTGACAGCTGCCTAGGCTTTGCAATGCTTCTTTTGGTAGGGAGGGGCTGCACTGGGAAAGTGTCCAGTAGGGCCTAGGGTGAAGGCAGGGGCCTGGAGTTGAGGGCTGAAGATAATTTACCCAGTTTTGGGGCCACAGAAGCCAGACTTAGTGAGTTCTGGGGGTGGGCTGTGATTTAATGGGGGTCTGAGAGACTCTCTGAGGCTGTCCTGGGATGACCCTATCCACTTACTCCCAGGTGCCACTGAGGATGTAACTTGAGCTTCCTGCAGGTGGGGATCAGATTGGCCAGGGCGGGATGAGTAGGAGGGTGTGGTCTGCTGTAGAGCCTGGATGCCCCAATCCTGGGAGGGGGAACCCTGCCTGGCTTATGACAGCCGCGGGAGAGCTTCACAGGCCCTGGACACATGTGGGTCAGATCGGGAGTCTGTGGAGGGGGAAGTGCCAAGCTCTTATTCAGCGTGCCCCTCCCCTGGGTGGGGCTTCAGGCGCTGAGTCATGGCTTTGATGGAGGGGCTGGCCTCACCCTCTCCCATCCTCCAAGCTGCTGAGGAAATCCTGGATAGAGGAAGGAGAGGAGGCCTTAGGTGCCCTGTGGATGGGGAGGGAAAGCCAAGGGGATCTCAGCAGAGGGTGCTGGCTTTCAGAGGGCAGAACGCTCACTTTGTCCCCATGATCACTTCCATCTTCTACGGGTGTGTCTCCGCTCCCGCCATCTCTCCAGGGACACAGGCGCCCAGCCCAAGGGTGGCAACTCTAGCAATGGGCTTGTTCTGGGGACTCCCTTCTCTTTTTCTGGGCCCCTCAAGGGAGAAGGGAGAAACTATAGTGGTGATCACGGTCTTGTTCGAGCCTTCTATGGTCCACCCCAGCCACACCTGTAGATGCTGTGGGCTGGGCTTGCTACAGGACAGTTCTGAGCAGGGCGGGCTGTGGGAACATCCTGCTGAGGCTGTCCTGCTCCAGGATTTGGAGTCACCTTTTCCCTTGAAAAGGGGTGAGGACTGCTCAGAGAGGAGCTGATGTCCTCCCAGGGGAAACAGCCTGATGTCAGCTCCCTAGCTGAGTACAGTCCAAGGCACACTCCACGCGACCCATAGGTCCCTCCCTTCAGGCAGAGGGGCGAGGGGAAACCCTGGCACATACCCCTCCCTCTGCCAATGCAGGGGGCAACAGATGAGGGTCTGCTAGACCTGGATGACCTCCCCTCAATTGGATTCCCTCTCAAGACCTGTCTCCTGCCTCTGACCCAAGCCCCATGCCCTGTAGTCCCTCATCCCTAGGAGGCCAGATGGGCACAGCTTGCCAGCTGAGCCAATTGTGGGGGGGGGGAAGCTGCTGGGATCTTGGCCCTATTTCCTTATTTCCTGTTCCCTGAGGGGGGTGTGTCACGTGCCTGATCCATCTGCCTCTCTCCTTCCCGGGATTCTCCCGCGGTGGCTTCTCTGGTGATGTCATGCATTAACTCTTCCCTTGCTGAGGCAGCCCCATTGTCAGGCTGCCCTGGTGGGAGTGGACTCTGCTAGGCCTGCCCCACCCTTCTCTACTTGGTGTTTTGAGGTTTAGGGGGGGTAGGGAGCACCTCTTCTCAGCTGGTCTGGGTCCTCTGATGCTGCCAGGACCAGAGAGAGCAGCCACCCACTTTGCTGGCTGACACCCATTTGCTCCAAGGTTCGAGCACCAGGCTTGTGGGTTGAGTAAGTACAGCAGGGGTTGGGGTGGGAGTAGATGCTGAAGGGGCTGAGGGATACATATGGGGGGCTGGGGTCCAGGATCAACTCTGACCCCTGGAGAGGAATGGAGATCTTGAGAGGAGGGAGGCCAGTGAGGCTCTGGCACCACCACTGTGCTATCCTTGGGGGCTGACAGCAGCCACAACCCAGGTGGAGAGGCATAGCCAATATGGTTTTTTCCTGCCTGAGATGGTGGTGGGCACTGGGCAGCTCAGAGTCAGCCAGACCTGGGTTCTAGTCCTGCCTCTTGTTCTAGTATCTGCCTCTGCCAGCCTCAGTTTCCTGCAGGCCTTTTCCCACAGTGGACTCCCCCTTGGGGAGGCACAGGGGAGGGTGATGAAGACCTAGCCTGACCGCCAGTCAGAGCAGATGGCTACAGGTTGACTCCAGCAATCCTATTCTTGTTGCAGGGCGACCATTGATGAAGTAGAAACAGATGTGGTTGAGATTGAGGCCAAACTGGACAAGGTGAGGGGATAGACCTAGAGATACATAAAGGGTACAGGATCACTCGAGAAGGCTGGATGGCAGGTCTTGCCTTCCAGGGCGTACTAATTTGAGTGTATGTGCACACGTGTGCAGGTGTGTCCATCCTGCCCCATGTGTCCAGGGCACATACATCACACACACATATGTGGCTGACCCTGAGTCTCATCTCATCCAGGAGGGGGTGGGTCTTGGTGAGTCCCTGATTCCTGGTGCATCCCCTGTTCCCTCTGTTAATGGCTGAGTCCAGCAGGCTGCTGTGTGGGGCGTACTTCAGTGTTACTGGGAGGGGGAGGGAGTGGGCTTCGGCAGAAGAGAGGGCAGCATCAAGGCCACACTGGCTGAGCTCGCTTACCCTGTGGCCACATGCACACCTCAGCCCCAGGCCCCCTGCACGGAGCTCCCTGCTCTGTCCTGTCCTTCCATTCTGGAACTGAGGCTCAGGTGATACCACCGCCCCCCACCCCCAGATTGTCCTCGAAGGGCCAGGCAGGCAGCCCTGCACTAATGGGCCCCGAGCGGAATTCTGGCTGTCCCTACTTTGGAGAGCTGTTCCCTCTTCTGTGGCCTGGCCTCCTGGTGGTGGTGTGGGCAGGAACTGGTGGGCAGGCATGAGTGTTACTTTCTTAGGGAAGCTGCTGGCCCCTCTCACTGCCTGCCCTGTCCTATCCACAGCTGGTCAAGCTGTGCAGCGGCATGATCGAGGCTGGCAAGGCCTATGTCACCACCAACAGGCTTTTCGTGAGCGGCGTCCGTGACCTGTCCCAGCAGTGCCAGGGTGATACTGTTATCTCGGTGAGGGGCCAATTGATCTCTGACCTCGAGGTGGGGCTGGGTTGGGGAGGAAGCCTCTCAAGTGTGTCCAGGCCCGGGAAGCAGGTGGGTATCTATGGTCTGTGTCCTGTGGGTGCCGACCACATAGAGGGCATGGCCGGCATGGCCTTGGCCCCCATCTGCTAGTCTCAGTTTGAATCCTTCCTGCTCTCCTCTCACCAGGAATGTCTGCAGCGGTTTGGAGACAGCCTGCAGGAGATGGTCAACTATCACATGGTAAGCCCTGGCCAGAATGGGGGTTTCCCAGAGTCCTCATCCATGTCATCCCAATCCGAGCTAGCCCCCCCCACCAGCTCTCTGCAGGCTCCGCCCCACCCGGAACAGATCTTGGCTGGCTCGCTGGAGCTGAGCTGGCGCAGCGTCTGGCGGGCGGAGAGGCCACGTTTCTGCTCTTCCAGTCTGTGAGGTGGTGGCCATCCCACGTCTGTGAGTCAGTGAGGCATGGGGGCATCACTAGGGGCTTGGCCACGTCCCAGGTGAGGGTCAGACTGGATCCCAAAGGGCAGGGGAAGTAGCAACACATCTCAGGACTGAGGGCAGTGGGATCTGGAGGTGGGGGAGACTTTGGAGCTTCACCCAGTGTCCCCCTGGTGGGCAGGGCTCTCTGTCCCAAGGTTCCTAGGTGACTGGCCTCACTGCTATTTGGGCTGGGGCTGGGGGACTCCATAGGGCCCTTGCACTGACGTGGACAAATATACATGTGTGGTCGGGCGTGGCCTGGGAACCAGAGCTCCAGACTAAACACGGGGCCCCCACCCCCTGCTGGGGGAAGTTTAGAAATAAACCAGCCCAGGAAGGCTCATCCTGCCGTCGGTCTGTCTGTTGGCTCCTGGTTGGGTGCAGCCCTCCTCTATATGGGGGGGTCTTATCTTGAATGCTGTGCTGTGGAGGAGGCCCTGGAAGCCCCTCCAGCTCTCAACAACAACCCCACCCCGCTCTCCACACCAAGCCTCTTGGGAGCTCTCAGCTCTGACCAAGTCATTCCTCATGTAGGGCTGGTCGTTTCTGAGGTGGCCTCCCAGGGTCAGAAGGCGGCGGGTGTCATGCCATGTCTGACCCTCGTGGGCCATTGTGGGATGGGGCTGTGGGAGGAGCACACATGAGAAAGCATGGCCACTATGTTGGCAGAGAACCAGGTTGGGGAGATGGGCAGGTGGTCACAGCTGTTGCCTCTGGCACCAACCGAGGTCTAGAGGCTACTCCCTTGTCCTAAGGGGCTGGCCCTGTGGAGGTGGGGTGGGACCTCTGGGCCCTATGTCTGGGCCTGTGGGCAGTGCCATCTGCTGGGGAGCTGGGGTCCAGGCAGGGCTGGCGAGGCTCTCCCTAGTTCTCTCCCACCCTTGCCTCTGGGGGCATGTGGTCACAGACTCCCAACCTCCCCATCCTCCTCCCCAGATCCTGTTTGACCAGGCCCAGAGATCTGTGCGGCAGCAGCTTCACAACTTCGTTAAAGAGTGAGTGGCTCCCAGGTCCTCGTGGGCCACCAGTGCTTGGGGGGAGTGGAGGCTGCACCCATGTCCAGGAGGGGGTGGGGCATTGGGGCCTGTCCATGGGATATCTTGGCCTGAGGCTTCCATACTGTGCAGATGTAGAGTCCTCTGGTCAGGGGTTCAGCAAGGGCAAAAACCTGGGTTCGGTCAGGACTGGTTGAGAAGGCAGAGCCCTGCCCTGTGCCTGCATGTGTGGTTGGGGGACATCAGGTTGATATTAGGTGTGTGGATCTGGAGTCTGGGATGAGGCCAGGGGCCAGGACTGATCAATCCTGATAGTAAGTGGCGGGGAGGGATGGGAGGGCTAGGGGTCCAGGAGCAAAGACAAGGGTGAAGGAGAGGAAAGAAAAGGAGAGGATGACTGTAGGGATAGGGGTGGGTGGGACCTGCCCAGGAGGGGGGCAGGTGCCCAGTGTGCACCCGTTCTCAACCTCTGATATGAAAATTGCTGGTTCCCAGGGATGTGCGGAAGTTTAAGGAGACAAAGAAGCAGTTTGACAAGGTGCGAGAGGACATGGAGCTGTCCTTGGTGAGGAATGCCCAGGCTCCAAGGCACCGACCCCATGAGGTGGAGGAAGCCTCAGGTGCCCTCACTCTCACTCGAAAGTGCTTCCGCCACCTGGCACTGGACTACGTGCTCCAGGTCAGCCACAGTGAGGCTTTGGCTCCTGAAAGGGCGGGCGGTGGCCCCCAGGCAAAGGCCCAGAGGTGGGGAAGAGCTGTAGGGGTGGAGGCCTGGAAGACTTCAGACAGGGAGGCTTTGGAGGGGTTTTGAGCAGGAGTAAGAATTTGCCCTGGGTAGAACCAGATATCTGAACTTGGGGAAGGGCTCTGGGACCATGGGAGAGTGAGGCTGGCACAGTGCAGGAGCTGAAGACAGCTGGGGACTTTCAGGGGACACAGGTAGCCTGAGTGGGTCTATGGCAAGGTATAGGCCATGGAGCTACCTGGGCCCTGAAACCTCACCTGTTGGCTCCTTCTGTCCCAGATCAATGTCCTCCAAGCCAAGAAGAAATTTGAGATCTTGGATTCTGTGAGTGCTTATGGGGGTTGCCCATGAGTGCAGGCGTGTGTGGTGGGTGCTGGGCCTCACCTGTGCCACCCCTGCAGATGCTGTCCTTCATGCACGCCCAGTACAGCTTCTTCCAGCAGGGCTACAGCCTCTTGCACCAGCTGGACCCCTACATGAAGAAGCTGGCAGCTGAGGTGAGCTTTCAGGAATACTGGGGCCAAGGTCTCAGAGGTTGGGGTGGGGGATCCACTGCCCTCCCTGATGTACCCCTTCCACAGCTGGACCAGCTGGTGATTGACTCTGCAGTGGAAAAGCGTGAGATGGAGCGTAAGCATGCTGCCATCCAGCAGCGGGTGAGGCCCTGCACACAGGGAGACTATGAGATGCCATTGCCCCTAAGGGGGCCCATGAGCCCATAATGCTTGGCCCCTTCCTCCCAGGCTTGTCTGCCTACCCACCCACTTGGCCTCAGGCACACCCTCTCTGCTGGGTAGAGACTGCTTTTCTTTGGAATATGCAGCCAGGGGGAGGGACCCTCATCCTTAAGATCTTGACACTGGGTGGGCACACGGGGCTAGAGCTCGACCTGGGATCTCCTTCCTTCGAGGCTGTGGTCACTTCTGTAGCCTCGGTTGCTGATTTCTTCTAGGGTCTTTGCTCACCTACGGGAAGTGGCCCTGGACACCATCCAGAGAGTAGAGCCCTGGGGAGGTGTTGGGGGAGGGTCCCTGGATCACTGGGAATTGGGACCAGAACTGTCACTCATTGGCTCTCTTTCTCCCTCCTACACCCCTTCTGCTTGGGACCCTTAGACACTGCTGCAGGTGAGTGAGCCCACCGTGGGGGGTATGGGCAGGGTGGCCTGTGGTAGGGAGAACCAATGGGGTGGGGCCTCTGCCTGCCCCGCCCCACCAGGGCTTCAGCACCAAGGACACCTCCCTGGGAGAGCAGGCTGCCTGAGGCGCCAGTTTGTAGCCTCTGCCCTAAGCAGTACTGGCACCAGCAGGACACAGACGAAGTCTGACCACGTCAGGCAGCAGCAGCTGCCCCTTTCTGCACTCCCCTCAGCTGGAGAGCAGGTGGCTAGGCCTATCCTCCGCTGCCCTGGCCTGAGGCAGCAGGACACACAGGACCCTCAGTAACTCCCCCACCTTCTGAATGGAGCTCTGTCAGGCTGGGTCCAAGCAGACCCAGCTGGCAACATGAATGGAGCACTCAGGATGCAGGGGGGCAGCTTCCTTCCTGAGCACAGCCTGCTTGTTTCTACGAGGCTGGGGGCAGGGACTGCGCTCTCAGGCCCCACTGTGAATGTGAAGTTTTGCTCCTGAAAGGGTGAGCGGTGGCCCCCACGCAAAGGCCCAGATGTGGGGATGAGCTATAGGGGTTGGAGGCCTGGAAGACATCAGACAGGGAGGTTTTGGAGGGGTTATGAGCAGGGGTAAGAATTTGCCCTGCTCAAAATTCACCCATGGGTGGGACCAGCTATCTGAACATGGGAAAGGGCTCCGGGATCATGGGAGAGTTAGGCTGGCACAATACAGCCTCCCTCCATGGGGTTTTGGGGCAGGGGGCCCTGCTGCATTTGGGAAATGGTTATTATCAGCAGAGGGTCTCCTGTCTAAGCACGTGCCCTGTGTGTCCATGTGATTTGTGTGGTGACCTCGAACTAGTGTCTCACCTCCATCTTCACTCTGGTGGAGTCTGAGGAAGTTGTGGGCTCCTTCAGGGGTGGACACTCACTAAAGGCCAGGCTGTTCTTTCCAGGACTTCTCCTACGATGAGTCCAAAGTGGAGTTTGATGTGGATGCACCCAGTGGTGTGGTGATGGAGGGCTACCTCTTCAAGAGGGCCAGTAATGCCTTCAAGACGTGGAACCGGTGAGAAGCTGTCCTCAGAAGGGGGGTACAAACAGACTAGGGTGAGGTCAGAGTGGACATAGGAACAGGCTTGGCCTAATACTCCCCTTCTTCTCCCCTTCTCTTCCATACTACTCAGGCGCTGGTTTTCCATTCAGAACAGTCAACTTGTCTACCAGAAGAAGCTCAAGGTATGCAGTGGGGCTAGGGGATGGGTCACTGATGACTGGACCCCTCCCCTCCTGGACTATGGGGTGGGCTGGTTGTTGGGGGTTGGTGTAAGGCTAAGGACACTGATGGGCCCCAAAGTTCAACTGGTCAGGGAATAAGTGCTGGAAACAGACAATTTGAGTTGCAGAAGGTCATGTCTGGTCAAGACCAGGGTGGGGGCAAGTGCAGGGGCCACAGTGGTGCCATCCACAGGATGCACTGACTGTGGTGGTGGATGACCTCCGCCTGTGCTCTGTGAAGCCATGTGAGGACATCGAGCGGAGGTTCTGCTTTGAGGTCGTGTCACCCACCAAGTGAGGAGGCCCAGCCCAGGTCGGGGTGGGGGGAGCCCCTGCCCACCTGGCCTGACAGTCTCCTCCCTCTAGGAGCTGCATGCTGCAGGCCGACTCAGAGAAGCTGCGGCAGGCCTGGGTTCAAGCTGTGCAGGCCAGCATTGCCTCTGCCTACCGCGAGAGCCCAGACAGCTGCTACAGTGAGGTGTGGCCCTCCCTGTGCCCTCCACATGCATGTGCCCACATCTGTGTGGCACAGTGAGATGGCTCCTGCAGGCTGTAGATGTGCATGTGTATGTGTGCTTGTATGTGTGTGCATGTGGTGTCTGTACACACATGTGCACGCATGCCCTTGCACATGCATGTGTAGGCTTGTGTTGACATACCCTAGCCTGTGCTCACACTTCAATCTGGGGAGGAGGAAGAGGCCTACTGGGGAAACCAAGGCTGCAGGTTCTGTAGGACTGAGGCCCTTTATACTGTCCTCCAGAGGCTGGACCGCACAGCATCCCCATCCACTAGCAGCATCCACCCA